GAAAAGTAACTTTTCCAACTTTTTTTCCAATTGTCCGGAAACTCTCCCGCGTGCGGAAAAGTTACTGTTCATGTGTTTGATTTGCGGAGGCTGGTGGCGAGTTACTTTCCGGACGGCGAAAAGTTACTGTTCGGGAGCGTGAAAAGTAGATCCAGCATGGACGTCGCAGAGTGCTGGAGGGCCCCCTCAACTTTCCAGCTTTTCGCAACTTTCGATAACTTTTGCATATTCGGGAAAGTCTTCAGGAGCCCCTACTTGGAACCCTGTGAGCCCTATGAGCCCGATGAGCTCTATGAGCCCTTTGAGCCCTACGAGCCATGTGAGGCGTTTGAGCATATGAGCCCTATGAGCCGAATTGGGCCTACAACCTGTACGAGCCCTGTGAGCCCTACGAGCCCTGTGGGCCCTATGAGCCGTACGAGCCCTATAAGCCCTACGAGCCTTATGAGCCCTATGAGCCCGATGAACCCTACGAGCCCCCCGAGCCCTATGAGCCCTGGGAGCCGTATGAGCCCTGTGAGCACAGTGAGCCCTATGAGCCCAATGAGCCCCTTGAGCCCTATGATCGCTATGAGCCCTGTGAGCCCTATGAGCCCTATGAGCCCTATGAGCCGTACGAGCCCTATGAGCCCTTTGAGCATTACGAGCCCCACGAGCGCAATGAGCCCGATAAGCCCCATGAGCCCTATGAGCCCCCAAAACCTTATGAGCCCTGTGAGCCCTGCGAGCTTTACGAGGCTCCATGAGCCCTATGAGCCGGACGAGCCCTATGAGCCCTACGAGCCTCATGAGCCCTATGAGCCCGATGAGCCCTACGAGCCCTATGAGTCCTATATGCTCCAATGAGCCCACGAGCCAAATGAGTCCGATGAGCACTCTGAGCCCTGTGGGACCCATGAGCCCGATGAGCCCTGTAAGTCTGGTGTCGCCCCCTGAGCCGTAGAAGGCCTACTAGCCTTATGAGCCCTCTGGGGCTTGTATGAGGTCTTTTGGATTTAACATGTTATGGTCTTTGGGTATTAGGGTCATACGGTCTTTCAATCTGATAGTACTTGGGTCTTTGGGTCTGAGAGTCCCAGGGCCATGAGGCTTTCGGGTTTTATCTTTTTAGAATATCAAAATCTTGAGGTCTTCAGGTCTTCGTGGCTGCGGCCAAAAAGCGGCGCCGGGCCGAATCGAGGCCTCAGGGGCGCCACCAGGCGTCAGGCCACCAGATGCGTCAAGCCGAATAGAGGCGTCAGGAGCGTCACCGGGCGTCAGGCCAATACCGGCGTCAGGCCGAATACGGGCGTCAGGGGCGTCACCGCGCGTTAGGCCAATAGAGGCGTCGCCACGGTTTTTCTGACGAGTAGAACCTTCGAGTAGCGTCTTCGTCTTGGGGCATTCTGGCACACCTCCGGGGCACTCGCCTGTCAGTGCAGATCAGCGACGGGCGGTGCCCCGCAGTTCTCTGCAGGCTGTGGCCCTCGCCAGGCCCCGGGAGTGTCAGCAAACGACTCGGGGCGAAGAGCCAGCCCCGCGGAGCGCGTCGAGACCTCTGGGGGCCCGCGCTGAGGAACGCCGCGGCGTCGGGGGTGTCTGGGCAGGCGCGCTCCCGGGGTGGGCCGCACTCTCTCTCTCGAGGCGCCGCGGGGTTGGCGCCAAGGCCTCGGCCGAAGGCTGCGGAGGCCAGGCGGAGGCTTGGCATCGCTCGGACGTGTGCATTTTTTGGTCGGCGAGAACCATCGAGGAGCATCCTGGACCATCGAGCAAAGAAGAAACACGCACGAAACCGAACAATGCGCGGGGAATGGACGTCCGAGCGACGGCAAGGATAGGGGGCCACATGCGAACCCTACCCCTACCCCCCACGATTCCTGAGGGGGAGGGTGGGGTTCACTTTGCTCGGGAGCTCCCGAACGAACTGAACCCCACCCTCCCCCTCAGAAATTGTGTGGGGTAGGGGTAGGGTTCGCATGTGGCCCCCTAAAGGAGGTGGAGCGAGGACGGCTCCGCCAGCAGGCATTGGCGGCAGCGGGCGCAGGTGATCGAAGCGGTAAGCACGGCACAGACACACACCGGTGGCGCGCCGCGCGGGTTTCCTCGGGCCCGCGCGGGGCTCCCCGGCGGCCGCCTCCGGCGCCGCCGCCGGCGCCGCGCCGCGCGCCAGGGAGCGGGGGCGGGGCCTGGCGCAGGTTCCGGAAATCCCTGGGGAGCGCAAAAAGTTTATGTTCATGCCGTTTCTTCTTCTTCTTTTTCTTCTTGTTCTTCTTGTTTTTCTTCTAAGTAAGAGTTCCCCACCCTGAGAGATGACAGCATGTCTGGGTTCAGGGCGGCCAGAGCGGGCCAAGTCGTGGTCGTGATGTCTCAGGGTTTCCCAGGTGTGCTGGAGGGCATTTGTGGCCACGGACATCTGGGCCAACTGGAGACAAATGACACCATCACTAGCGCATGCAAAATGGCCTATTCCACTCCTGCTTCCTTTTTTCTGCTCTCACGTCGTTCCGCCCCCCCCCACCGCCCTCCCTACATTCTGGTCTGCATCCCAAGCTCCACTTCGCTCTGTCCTCACAAGTCGTTTCACAAGGTCCGAGTTTCCGACTTTGTGGCAATCTTTACGTGACGTGGGCGAGACAAGCTGTGTTGGTTACCACGATCAGCGAAATCATGCTACTTTTTTGTGCTACGCCAGAGTGGTACACCCTTGTTTGTTCGGCCCGCAAAGCGCCAACTGAAGAGTCGCGAGTGGCAAGGTTGTGGCACACCAGTGGCCCCCCCCCAAACGAATATGACTCACAAGTGACCCACTAAAGACCATGACTCATTAACGACCCACTTATGAATACGACCGGCCTGAGGTTCACTCACGGATATGTCCCCTCAGTGTTCCACCATTGACCACGAACGGCCTCACCGTGGCAACTGTGCTGCAGCATTTGCCGGTTAGTCAGCGGCGTTTGGTTATCATTCATGAACCATCAGCCATCGAACCGAGTCGAAAGAGCCTTCCATTGGCCAAGACCAGGTTGCTTCTGCGAGAAGGCACTCCATCAGGGACGACGCGCGTAGCAGAGATTCCCCACGAAAGGGACAAAGCACAGACGCCAACAAGTACGAGTGTCGGAGCGGAGGATTGGAGAATGCGTTGGGGTGCCTTTTTGCAAGCACATCGTCGCTGGTCAGTTTTGTTCAGACGAGCCCAGCAGGGGTCGAAACTTTAGCCCGAAACGGACAAACACTGCCCCGACGCGCTTGATCATCCGGGACGACGAGGAGGTCTACGAAGACGACGGCGAGCTCGAGGCAGAGGACGGCGATACGGCAGCCCCCCCCTTGTGTAAAACCAGCGGGTTCGCCACCGCCCGTGGCCGGAAGGATGAGAAGAAGGAAGACGAGATCGAGGGTTGGAAGAAGAGCAGGGAGCAGGGGGAGCAGGAAGGGGACTCCTCCCCTCCCTCCCCCTCCCCTCCCCCTCCACCCTCCCTCCCTCCCCATCCTCACTCCCACCCCTTCCTCCTTCACCCCTTTTCCCTATCAGTAGCTCCTCCCTGTCGCACTCTCAGACGTGTCAGTGCGGGCCAGTCGCTTCACATGAGACTCCATCCTGAAGCTGGAACTGTGCAACAGATTCACGGATTGAGGGCGGGCCGTTTTCAAAATGTGGTTTTCGCTTCTGCACCGCTCGGATAAGATTGAACAGTTTGCAACTCCTTCACGGATGGAGGGCGGATCGTTTTCAACGTGTTATTCTCGCTTCAGCGTCTCGCACGTTTGGAGAGCGGTTCCTTTTCAAATTGGGGTTCTCGCGTCAGTTCCGCGCACATTCATTTCACAAGTTGGCAACCGTGTCAAGGATTCGTACGGGTGTAGCTTGCAGTTCGAGGATCGGTGGTCTGGAAGGGCTTAGGTTTCCCCAGACGCAGCAGTCACGTTGAGTTGCGCGGTGTTGAAGTCCCAAGGTTCTGTGTTTCGGCACCAGTTAGCGTTGCTAGAACGCAACAATCACGTTGATGTGCGGCGTTGAAGGGTGGTAATCTGGCCCGATTGAGGACTGTCAAGACGCAACAGTCCCATTGAAGTGCGGTGTTGAAGTCCCAAGCACGCGGTTCTGGCACGAGTTGGGGTTGTCAAGACGCAACAGGCACGTTGATCCGCGGCTCTGAATTCCCAGGACCTCTGTTCTGGCACGACTGGGAATTCTGAAACCATTGTCTCCCAATGCGCCACTTCCCGCAATGAAGATACGTTGTTGCATGGGCGTGCGAAGAGGGAACTTTGGGGGATGGTTTATTGCAAAATCGTTGATGCGTCTTGTGGTTGCACTGGTCCTCCTTCCGCTCATGTCCGCCGAGCCCTGTCTGATCTGGCTTTATATCGGGCTGCATTCGGGCTAGTCTGGTTCAGTGGCCCCGCAGTCGGGTTACTCGCTCTCGCGAAATGTTCCAAGACATTGCAACCGAATCGTGGGGAACAGAGACGCAGCGCGCCCATGTGCACTTCATGTGCAAGACATGTGACGAGGTGGTTTCACGATTGCGCCGCCTGGCTTGTCAGCGCACTGCTGTGCCCGCTCCCCCCCTCCTCCTCCGTCGCCTCGTCCTGGCGGCTCCTCGTGTGACGCTCCCGGGTTGTCCAGCGGTCTTCCGTCTTACGGCGCAGAGTCGGTGGGGCGCCAGCCTGAGTTGTGGGGAGAGTCGTGATCCTCTTTCGCCTCCTCCTCCTCCTGCTCCTCCTCCTCCTCCTCCTTCTCCTCCTCGTCCTCCTCCTCCTCCCCCCCCTCCTCCTCCTCCCTCCTCCTCCTCCTCCTCCTCCTCCTCCTCCTCCCTCCTCCTCCTCCTCCCTCCTCCTCCTCCCTCCTCCTCCTCCTCCCCTCCTCTCCTCCCCCTCCTCCTCCTCCCTCCCCCCTCCTCTCCTCCCTCCTCTCCTCCTCCTTCCTCCTCTCCTCCTCCTCCTCCTCCCTCCTCCTCCTCCTCCTCCTCCTCCGGCCAAGCCAGCGAGACGTTGTGCCTTCCACGCCCGAGGTGTGGATCGTCGAGGGCTCGCCGGCGCCCTCCTTCGCGGCCCCGTGGACGGCGGGCCCCCACGCGTGGCCCAGCCGCGCGGCCCTGCGCGCCGGCACGTGCTCCCCGCGCGCGCGCGGCGCCCGCGTCGGGAGCCGCGTTGGGACTAGGTCGGGCCTGTCCCCCTGCAGGGGGATTTTTTCGACGAGTCAGTACAACATGCCCCACAAATAGCTAAAGAAATAATCAACAAATAGTCTGGGGACTTTTTTTTTTTTTTTTTGAGGAACCACGTTGGGATTAGGTCGGGCCTGTCCCCCTGCAGGGGGATTTTTTCGACGAGAAATAAAAAAGACCCCACAAATAAGCAAAAAAAAGTTCGACCATAGTCTGGGGACTATTTGTTGTGTATTTTCTGGCCTTCTTTGGGTGTATTTTTTTGAGGAACCGCGTTGGGATTAGGTCGGGCCTGTCCCCCTACAGGGGGATTTTTTCGACGAGAAATGAAAAATACCCCACAAATAGCTGAACAAATAGTCCGAACATAGTCTGGGGACTATTTTTTGTTTGTTTGTTTTGCCTTCTTTGGGTGTATTTTTGTTGAGGAACCGCGTTGGGATTAGGTCGGGCCTGTCCCCCTACAGGGGGATATTTTCGACGACAAATAAAACATACCCCAAAATAGCCAAAAAGATAGTCCCAACGTAGTCTGGGGACTATTTTGTTGAGTATTTTTTAGCCTTTTTGGGACATTCTTGGGGTTATATTTTACTTTATCGTCGGAAATCCCCCTGTTGGGGGAGAGGCCCGACCTAACGTCAGGAGGGGGCTGGGCTCGGGAGGGGGCGCATCTCAAGCAGTTGCGAAACGTCCTGGCTCGCCTAGAGGCCCACCAAAGAATGCCCTAATATAGAGGAAGAAAAGGTGACATAAATATAACAACTTGGAGGTCCGCGCGGATTTCTCGGATCGGCGCTGGGGCCCCTCGGCGGCGCCTCCGGCGCCGCACCTGTCGCGCTCCGCGCGCCAGGGAGGGGGGTCCAGCGCCGATCCGAGAAATCCGCGCGAAGCTCCGAGTTTTTATGTTAATGTTATTTTTGGTTCCGCTATAATGATCGCTTGTGGCTTGCACGAGGTGTTGTCAGAGCTTTTCTGGCTGAGTCTGTCTTGTTTCAACATATCGGCCATATACCCTAAGAACATGGCTTTTGTCGATAGGACAGTCTTTTGCCCTGAGAGCATGTCGTGCTAGGCCCATAGGACAGCCGGGACGGTCGGTCCCTGCTCACATGTGGGCCCGATCGCCCCCCCCACCCCCCGCCCAGGAACGTGCGGTCTCGCTGTCGGGTGCCGGACGCCGATCCGCCGGCGAGGCGTCGCCGGTGCCGGCTCGACGCGTCCCTCCCCGAGCTGCTCGCCCCTGTGTCGCTGCCCCTCGTCGCGGCTCAGCGCTCGCCTGGGGGGCGGCTTCTCGTCTTCGGAGGTGCTGCGAGGATTTCGGGCGCTCTCTCAAAAGAGCGCGCGCGGAGGCAACGGGTGGCTGGCCCTCGGGGGGGCCCCTCGTCGCCACGGCTGGGCGCAGCGCGGTAAGCTGGTGCGCTTGGGCCCAGGGCAGGGGTCCAGGGGTCGAGGTTGAGCCGCCGCTGTCTCTCAAGTTGCCCTGCTCCGACTCTCGTCGGTCCTCCGCGGTGTTTCCTTCACTTCGGCCTCTGGGACCCGTTGTCGGTCCCCAGGGCCGTCTAAAACGGATCTGGGACGAAGCACGACCCGCGGGGAAGCGGCCTGGGCCTGCGGAGTAGCAGCAGATGGGGGGCCGGCTTCTGGTGTTCGGGAGTGGCTCGAGGCTCTCGGACGTCCTCGTCGGTCCTCGGCGGCTTTCCAGCCTTCGGGTGCTCTCCAGCAGCTGCGCATCGATGGCGAAAGCATGACGGGGTGCCCCGGGCCGTCACGAAAGGCCGCTGGAGAGCGGAGTTATGACCAGAAAACCGGGAGGGGGGGGGGGGACTGGCTCAGGGGGGGGGGGCATTGACCCCCCCGTCGCCCGTTCGTCGCGACTCGGGGCGGACTCGCTTTCGAGGGTTTATCGCCGTTCCATCGGCGATGAGTCGTCGATTCCACGTCAAGTTTCCCCACCTGGGTCAGTCGAGGAGGAGGAGGAGGAGGAGGAGGAGGAGGAGGAGGAGGAGGAGGAGGAGGAGGAGGACCAGTGTAAACCCAAGACTCATCAATGATGTTGGAATGCACCCTCCCTCCAAGCTCCGTCTTCACAGGCCCTTACAAGGGTTCTTGTCCACTGAGGGAAGTGCCCCGTCGGGGGACAACCGCGTGAAAATCCTGAAGTGTGCCATAACACCGTTCTCAGGACTTCGACGCTACGGGTCAACTTGGCTGTAGCGTTTTGACGATCCTGAGTCGTGCCAGAACACCATTTCTGGGACTTCAACGTCGAGAATCAACATAACTATTGCGCCCTGACAATCTTGAGCCGTTCCACAACACCTTTTCTGACCGTGAGAGTCGGTGAGCCTCTTGAGAATGTGCGCGGCGCTATGGCGAGAGCCACATATTGAAAAGGAACCGCCATCAGTCCGTGAAGAACTTCCCAAGTGTTTGGAAACGAATGTGCGCGGCGCTAAGGAGAACGCCATCTGTTGAGAACGAGGCGCCCTCGACCCGTGAATCTCTGCCAGATTCGAATGTGCGCGGCGAAAGAGGTGAGAGCCACACGTTGAAAACGAGCCGCCCTCATGTCGTGAGAACTCTTGCGACCGTTTCAAAGCATGTGCGCGGCGCCAGGGCGAGAGCCCGTTTTTTTGTTTGTGTGTGTGTGTGTGTGTGTGTGTGTTTTGTTGTTTTCTCAGCCTGTTAACACGAATGTGCGCGGCGCTAGGGTGAGAGCCACATATTGAAAACGAGCCACACCCAATCCGAGAAATCCTTTCCAATGCTTTAAGACGAGTGGGCGCGACGCGAAGGCGAGAGCCACATTCTGGAAGCGACCCGCCCTCCGTCTGTGAAGCTTCTGTCAGAATTTTTGAGCGTCAGGCTCATACATGGTCAGAAAACAGGCGCAACGCCTGGCCCGCCCTTTCGACTGGCTTCGGGGAGAGACAGGGAGGAGTTACTCAGTATTGAAAGGAATGGAGGCTGGGCGAGAGAGGAGGAGTGAGGACGAGGAGGGAGAGAAGGAAAATGAGGAGGAGTAGGAAGAAGAGTAAGAAGAGGAGAAACGAGGAGGAGGAGGAGGAGGAGGAGGAGGAGGAGGAGGAGGAGGAGGAGGAGGAGGAGGAGGAGGAGGAGGAGCAGTAGGAGGAGAGGAGGAGGAGGAGGAGGAGGAGGAGGAGGAGGAGGAGGAGGAGGAGGAGGAGGAGCAGGAGGAGGAGCAGGAGGAGGAGAAGCAGGAGCAGGAGCAGGAGCAGGAGGAGGAGGAGGAGGAGGAGGAGGAGGAGGAGAGCAGGAGCAGGAGCAGGAGCAGGAAGAGGAGGAGGAATAGGAGAAGGAGGAGGAGGAGGGAGGAGGAGGAGGAGGAGGAGGAGGAGGAGGAGGAGGAGGACCTCTCTCCTCCTCCTCCTCCTCCTCCTCCTCCTCCTCCTCCTCCTCCCTCCTCCTCCTCCTCCTCCTCCTCCTCCTATGGTCCTGTTCCTCGGAGCGCGGCCCCGCAGCATACAAGAAAGGATGGAGTAGACTACGCAGTAAATATGCTCACGCCCGTAGGCTTCCGTCATCTCCAAGTGCAAATAGACTGCCGGAGCATTCTGGATTCGTTGGCCCGCGGTCCTGGTTACTCCGAGGGCCTCGGGGCGCCTAGGGGGCAATTGTGGGGTCCCGTGTGGAGCTCGCTCGCTCTCGGCGACTTCGAGTGCTTAGGACCCCCGGCCACGCGTCGGCAGCCAGCGTCGATGCTGGCAGCAGCACCGGAGGGGGAGCGACGTGCCAACGGGCACGCCGTCTGGTTTGCGAAGCTTGGCGCAGAGCGCCACGGTGTCCAAGACGAAGCGACTCTCCTGCACAGAGGCCTTCGGTGTTTCGCCCGGGAGGCGTGCAGCGGGGCAGGCAGCCCAAGGGCTGCCATGCCAGGAGGCCCTCGCGACACGACGGGGCTGTCGCCGGAACCCTCGGCAGCAGGGCCCAACGGCCACGGGCAGCAGCCAGGTGAAGGCGACGCTGCGCAGGGCCAAGCCCTTGCCGACGATCAACGGGAGTGGGGGGGTCGTCGGGCTCGAGGGAGGAGTGGATGAGCTTCTCCTCGGCAAGTCTTTGGACTCCATGGCCACACGTTTTTGGCTGGCCCCGTCTTCGATCGCCTCGGAATTCTGAAGAGCAGGATTCGGTTTTGCTGTCGATGCGGCTTCTTCCTCTCGGGCGCCCCGAACTCGGGTGCCAGAGGGCCGTGCTGGCCAACATCTTCCACAGGCGGGATCAATGATCAGCTGGGAAGGATTCGGATGAATCAGTTCCCTTCTTACAAGAAGGACTTGAAAGACACAACCCTGTCCACGATGGTCTGAACCTCACCGAGCGTAGGACTTTGGCTCAGACGCTGGAGGAGGATGGGCGGACCCCCCCAGGATGTCTCAGGTCGAGTAGGTCCTGGCTCTGCGGGCGGCTACGCCCTACGTGAGCAGGTTTTGGGCTCCGTCGGCCTTTCGGAGCAGGAACTCCCCTGGGTGAAGTCCCCTGGGGAAGCCTTCCTCTTAGCCTCCCGTGGAAACGGCGATTCGGACTCGGAGGCCTCCCATTTTGGCTCAGACCCTTGGCTGCTCGGCCAAGTTGGGAGGAGGAGGAGGAGGAGGAGGAGGAGGAGGAGGAGGAGGAGGAGGAGGAGGAGGAGGAGGAGGAGGAGGAGGGAAGTCTGGGAGGGATCTTGGGAAAAATCATGCCCGGTCTCTCGTCGGACGGCCTCGGCCTGCTCCAGAGGCCCGCGGTGGTCCGCGGGGGCCGCCTGGGGGCGGACGGCTGCCCGCGCCGGCGTGCCGTCGCGGGGAGGGGCTGCAAGGGAAGCCGCAGCCTCGTGCCCCGAATTCCCGACGAGGAGGGCCTGTTCGATCTCCAGATTTCGTCATAAAGGGAGGGGGGTCTCATTTCGGGGGGGGGGTCTCTTCGAGGCTATCTTGGAGGGCCTGGGGGGGTCTGGGGACGATGTTTTGGAGGGTTCTCCCACGGGGGGGGGTCTAAAACTCCTCGTCTGGGAGGATTGAGACCCCCTCCCTTTTATTACGAAATCTGGAGTATTCGATCTCCAGTTCTTCCCGAGATTCCGGCCTCTCTGGTCCCGCCCTCGGGCCCCATGGGCCATCGAAGACAGATCCGGCACAAGAGCAGCCCCCGGAGAGAAGGGGTCGGGACCGCTCAGGGGCCGCGCATGGGGCTCCCCTGGCGCCGCCCCTGGCGCGCTCCGCGCGCAGATCCAGGATCTCCGCGCGAAGCTCCGAAAGTGTACACATGCTCATGCAGCTTGTTGCTCCGCTGCGCAAGCCCTGGCTCCTCCTCGCCCGAGCCAGGGCCGCGCCGCACCACTCGCCGGCGCGATCGTCCACGCCGCCACGGCTGCAGGGCTATGCGGGAGCAGCGCCGGTGCCGCCCTCGGCTGCCACGGCGCCGGCCGGGGGGTGCAGTTTGCAGAGCCGGGCGCGCACACGTCCTGGTTGTGGGTCCGCTCTATGTGCTCGGTGCTGGTCGACGCTGTCCGAAGAAGAAGGAACTGCATAAACTTTTTTGATCCGCGGGCCGAGAGCGCACCTCTTCCGGTCGAATTCAAGCGGGCCGCGCACAGCTTTAATTCACAGAGCAGGGGGGCAGAAGGAGGGGCCTCACGTCAAGGCCAGGAGGGGGCAAAGCCCCGGAATCAGGCGGTGCCGAAGACGATGTGCTTGCAAAGGAACGCCTTGTACAGGAACCAGAACTGCATACGCATGATTCCTCGGAGGTCGCGCGGAGTTCTTGGATCGGCATGGGGCCTCCCGGCGCCTGCGGCGCCGCCCCTGGCGCGCTCCGCGCACCAGAGAGAGGGGCCGAGCGCGCCGATCCAAGAGACCCGCGCGGACCTCCGAGAGATGATGTTTGTGCAGTTGGGTTCCTCTGACCGTGCCGGCTGTCCGGACGGCAGCCCTTTCTCCCTCCTCGTCCGCGTTCTCGTGTCGCTGGAGAGGAACGGGCAGGGGCCATCCGGCGGCAGAATCGCTTACCGACTCCTTCTGTTTCGGTTTGGCTGGTGGCACCATTCCTCGCGTTCTCGCCACTGGCACTGTTCCCCGAGCAGTGCTTGCACCTAGGGGCTCTTATTTCTGTGCTGAGGAACTAGGCCTGCCCGTCGCCATGGCGGCTATGTGGTCGCCGTCGCCGCCCGCCGTGGCCTCGTGCCCGTCGCCCTTGGCCTGCCCGTCGGTCTGGCAGCTATGTGATCGTCGTCGTCGCCCCGTCGGTCTGGCGGCTATGTGGTCGTGGTCGCCGACGCCACCCCGTCGCTCTGCCCGTCGGTCTGGCGGCTATGTGGGCGCCGTCGCCGCCCAGTTTTTTTTTGGATACGTTATATATTGTATAGATACATGAAAAGAGATAGGTTCTACCACTCCCCCCCCTGGACTTATCGACTCCCCGGGAGTATATGCAAAACACATGATATTGACCCGATGTCCATCCCACCTGTGAGTCCATACTGTCTTTGCCAGGCCGAAATCCGTGCCCTTTCGGTTCCGTTGCAACAAGTACTATGCGCGCGCACTCGTTGATAACAAATCGTACGTTTTCAAGAATCCCTTGCGAACAATCGGACGAGTGGCGCACGCGCACGTCGTCGCGCGCATGCCGAAATCCTTCAAAAACCTTGGGTTTCGAAAGGACGTCCAAATCGAGTGTCCAACACACAGTTAAAAACACATAGGGCTTCGCAACACGGGTGTTCAATACATGCGTGCGCGCGCTTTTGCGTTTTTTGTTTTGTTTTGTTTCGTCGCTCTCTTTCTCTCTCTCTCTCTCTCTCTCTCTCTCTTTTATAAGGCAAGCAACACATCTTTTCAACATTTTCATAACATGCTACCAAACGGGCTCCGCGCGCGCATGTCGAAATCGTACGAACGCCCTTGCGCGCGTGCTGGGGTGACACGAGTCGTGTCAAATAATACCATGCGAGCCACTCTTGCGCGTCTGCCGCGCGCGTATTTTGAATTCCTTTCAACACCTTCATCACCGACGCGAAGACGCCGTCATCGTCGTCGGCGTGATCAGCATCGGCGCCGTCACTTTCTGCCCCGTCGTCGCTGTCAGCATCGTCGCCAGCATCGCTACTATCATCATCGGTTCTACCGTTGTCGACGTTGCCATAGTCGCCGACTCGCACTGAAGTGTCCGCTGGGATGTGCCGAACGGTCAGCGCCATCGCGTTCGCGTCGGTCGCGCCGAACTAGTTGGCCGCTGCTCGCGCGAGCATGCGCGGGCTAGCGCGGCCGCAGAGATGCGCCAGCCACCACCCAGGTCTCATCGCAGTCGCTCCCGCATGGGTTTTGCAAATCAGTTACGGGTGGGTGGGTGGGACGATTGCGCGAACAGTGAAGTTGACAACTTCAAGTTCGGCAGATAAATTGCACCACGTAGATTGCACGATGTACGCTGCACCACGTAGATCGAACCACATATATTCATTGTCTGCCGCCGCGCCGCCGATCCCTTGGGGCGGCAGTAAGAGTGAGAGACAGAGTTTGCGGAACGCGCGCGATTTCTGGTGAATTTGGGTGTTTTTTGATTTCGTCGGGGGCGGTTGGCGGATCGCGGCTCTGCTCTTGGGCTTCTCTGGGCATTCCTGGCAGTACTTTCGAGGCCTCTTGGGGACCGTATTGAGGCCTCCAGGGGCCTCCTTGGGGCCTTTCGGGGGCCTCGTGGGAGCCCCTTGGCGCCTCCTCAGGTTTTTTCGGGGCCGAGTGCTCGAAATGCCCATTCGGGTTCCCCCTGTGGGCCTCCTCTACGGGCCGTCCTGGGGCCCTCCTGGGCCGTGCTGGAAGATTCTGGGGCCGTCATGCGGCCTTCTTCGGCCGTCCTGGAGCCCTCTTGGAGGCCTCTTGGGTTATATTGGGTTGACCTTCAAGGCTTCTTGGGCCGTTGTAGGCCTCGTGAACGCCCAAGAGGCGAATGTACTAAAAACATACGTTTCCCCCCGGGAATAGAGGGTCTCTTGGGACGCCTCTTGGTGGGTTTTGGCGGTGTCTTGGAGGCTTCTGGGGCTGTCTGGAGGCAATCTTGGGCGTTGGAGCGATCTTTAGGCGACTCGTAGCCCTCTTGGACCGTCCGGGGGGCCTTTTGGGGCCCCTTTGGCCCGTTTTGGGGCTCCCTGAGGCTCCAAGAGTGCGGCCGGCACTTTTGCTGCCCCCCCCCCTTCCAAGCCGGCCGGACCAGGCTCCCGGGGAGGGGTTTGGGGAGGGGGAAGTATCTCACACGCCGTGACCCCAAGGTGTCGGCGGATTCTGCTTTTTAGAAGACTAATAATAGGATCCAGTCCCCCCCCTCCCAGAACTAAGGGTACCCCTTTTCCGTAGTTCGTTTTGCAGATGATTCTGTCCCATCGTCCATCCTAAATATGAACTCGTATTGTCCCAGCCAGGCGGGTATCGGTCCCCCCCTCATCCTTGGCATACAATATTATGCGCGTGCACTCACTGATCACACATATTTTTTCCCATAATCCCTTGCCACAAATGGGACGAAGGGCGCACGCGCACGTCGTCGCGCGCGCATGCCGAAATCCTTCACGAAGTCTGGGTCTGGCAAGGATTTCTAAATCGAGTGTCCCGAAATTATTTTAAAACTACAATTTCGCAGCACGGATTTTTAAGAAAACCCTGCGCCCGCGCTCTTGCGAATTCGTCAGAAAGCCATCGGTTTTTCAACATGTGTATTCGATGTTACTAAACGGGCCTCTCGCGCGCGCATGTCGAAATCGTTCGAACGTCCCTGCGCGCGTGCTGTCGCAAAAATCCCTAGCCAAAAACGGGCCGAAGTGCACAAGCGCGCGTCGTCGCGCGCGCACGCCGGAATCCGCCCAAAACCGCAGGTTTCGCAAAGCGTGCAAGATCGAGTGTCCCGAAACTATGTAGAACTATACATGGTTTCGCAACATCAATTTTCAAAAAATGCCTGCGGTGGCGCTCTTGTGATTTGTGAAGAAAATCATACGTTTTCATCGCTTGCGTTGGATTATGCCAAGCGGGCCTCTCGCGCCGCACGCTCAAATCATTCGAACGCCCTTGCGCGCGTGTCGTCGGGGCACGGTTCGTGTCAAATCACACCATGCGGGCCACTCTCGCGGGTCGGCGGCGCGCGAATGTCGAACTCCTTCCAACAATTTCATCACCGACGCGAGGACGCCGTCGTCGTCGTTGTCGTCGTCGTAGTCGTCGTCGTCGTCGTCGTCGTCGTCGTCGTCGTCGTCGTCGTCGTCGTCGTCGTCGGCGTGATCAACATCGGCGCCGTCACTGGCCGTGCCGTCGTTTCTGTCATCAACGCCACCAGCATCGCTACCAGCATTATCGCGTCTACCGTTGTCGACGTTGCCATGATACCGCGCCCGCCCAAGTCGCCGACTCGCACTAAAATGCCCTCTGGGAAGTGCCCGGCAGTCAGCGCCACCGCGGCCGCGTCGGTCGCTGGCCGCTGCCCGCGCGAGCATGCCCGGTCTAGCTCGGCCGCAGAGATGCACTAGCCAACACCGAGCGCTCATCGCAATGGCCGCCGCATGGGCCTATGCAGACCTAGTTGCGGGTGGGCGGGTGGGGTGATTGCGCGAGACGTGGAGTTGGCAAGTCACCGCGAACATATATAATTGCAGCATATGCGTTACACCATGTAGATTCTCCTTTTCTAAAAAGAGAATAGACTCTACCCCCCCCGGACTGAACGCTTCCCCCTGGGATAGTATAATTTCATATACGTATGTATGTATGTATGTATGTATGTATGTATGTATGTTTATGTCTGTGTATATATATATATGTATGTATATATGTATATATATATATGTGTATTTATATATATATACATATATATATATTCTGCACACTCGTCCATCCTAAATTTGAAATCGTATCATCCCAGCCAAACTCGTATCCCCCCTAAGGTTCCCTCGGATAAAAAAATAGCGCTATGCGGTGACATTTTTTGTTCTAACATAGCACATTTTTCGCGAATCCCTTGCAAACAATGGGACGAAATGCGCACGCGCGCGTCGTCGCGCGCGCATGCCGAAATCCTTCAAAAACCGTCGGTGCCGGAAGGATTTCGCAATCGAGTTTCCAAAAAACATACAAAACACAGGGTTTCGCAACACAAATTTGCTAAACAAACTTCCGCGCGATCTCTTGCGAAATCTTAAGACAACCATGGGTTTTTTTTCAAGATTGTCACAACATGCTACCAAATGGGCTTCGCGCGCGCTCATGTCGAAATCTGTCGAACGCCCTTGCGCGTGTGCCGTCGCGAGAATCCCTTGCAACAAATAGGACGAAGTGCAGACGCGCGCGTCGTCGCGCGCGTATGCTGAAAACCTTCAAAACCCATCGGTTTCGGAAGGATTTCAAAATCGTGTGTCC